GTTTGTGGGGAAGGGTTTGGGTGGGTGCAGTGTTTGTGGGGTGTGTGATTGTGTGTGGGGGAGGCTGTGGTTGTGGGGTTTGCAAGGGAGGGTTTTTGGATATGGTGGGATGTACATGGGAGCCCCATGCATGCCCCTGAGCCAGTCAGCACCTGCCCCTACCCCACAACAGCCTGGAGCCCAGAGCCTGTGAGCCCTGCAGCGCCTCCCCACCACCACAAGCACCACGCAGCCCCAATGCATGCTCCAAACTCACTCCTGCCAGAGCGTACAGCACACCCTGCCACCCCCGGGGCATGCAGCAGAGCTGGGGTGGCTTCATAGATGGACTGCTTTTCTTGGCAGCCCAGGTGGCGGTGGCTCCTTCTGGCTGCTGCTGCTACAGATCCCGCCCAGAGGTACCAGCCCCACATGGGCTCTGGGCAGCTTTCTGCAGCAGGGAGCTGCTGGCAGTGGGAGAGGGAAAGGCCACTTTTCCCCCCACACTGAGCAACAGCTTCTGTCTGACACTGCTGCTGCTGAGCCTGAGTGAGGGAGCATAGGGCACATGGGGTTGGGGGTCTGCAGCGTGGGTCCCCACTGGTACCTTGGGGCTGGGGCCAGTGGCACCAGCAGCCAGAAGGAGCCACCTGCCACCTGGGCTACCAGTCTCGCTGAGGAGCCACCCCAGCTCTGCTGCATAACTAGGTGGCAGCAGGACGTGCCACAGCTGAGCTGTGCCTAGGCCAGGTAAAACTGAGGGACCTGCCATAGGCTGGACAAAGACCTGCTGCAGGCTGGATCCAGCCCAAGAGCCACATTTTGCCCACCCCGGGGTAGATATTAGGAAGAATTTCTCACTAGGAGGGTAGCAAAACACTGAAACAGGTTACCCAGAGAGGTGGTGGAAGCTCCATCCTTAGGGGTTTTCAAAACCTGGCTAGACAAAACCTTGGCTGGGATAACCTAGTTGGGGCCGGTCTTGCTTTGAGGGCGGGGGGACTAGATCCGACCTCCCGAGGTCCCTTCCAGCCCTCATTTTCTGTGATTCTGCAATAGAAGCGGTGTTTGACTGCCTCTAGGGCCTTGTCCTCAATGGTAATTTGGGGAGTGGGGGGGTCACATCTATGGCCTGGTGTTAGGCTGATAGAGCACATCAGTCTTCTTGAAAATGTGTTCAGTATGAGTTTGTAACAGTGCAAAGACAGCCCTGTTTCTTTGATGTTACTAAGTTGCAAGTCCAGGGGAGAGTCAGGTCAGGGACAGTGCAAAGTTAATTACTTAGTAAACACAGTTGGGAAGGGGATTGCACCCAGGGGAATATTAACTGATTAGGAGCCAGCAGCTACTTCAGTCCACAGCAAGGGGCTTTCCTTTGCCCCCTGGGGCACAGCATAGAGAGATTCAGCAGACCCAGCGCCGGAGCAGCTTGCTGATAAGACTGGTGGACTGGGTGTAGGTAACCACGGCAATCGGTGAAGTAAAGAGGTGAGGAAGAGAGGAGAAACTTACTGAGAGAAGGTCCCATGGAGAAAGGATCCGCTGGCACCGCAGGAAAGAGAAAAGAGAGCGGGACTGGAGTGGAGCCAACTGACTTGCAGGAGGGCTGCACAGCGGTGGAGGAAAGGGAGACCGCGAGCTGTGAGAACAGCCAGGGTGCTCCACAACCTGCCGGGAAGCTACTAATAAACCAATTTTCTTTTATCCTGCTTCTGGGGTGATTTATTACACCCTCTCTCTTCGGGGAATTTACTTCTTATTCTGCTATCATTCCAAAGCATGGCAGGCAAGTCCCAGGGAGAGAGATTTCATTATTCACCCCCACCCGGCCACACAGTTCATGGAAGAGGTCATAGTTTAGCCAGGTCAACCACCTACTGCACCTCCTCTCCTTCGTTTGCATTGACATAACCTCCTCTTTTCACCTTCATATGGTCTCTGTAAGGTACAACCAGTTCTCTCCATTACCAGTTCAGTCTCCCTTTCAGCATCCACTCTGTGCCTGTGTGAGACACAGGAGATTGGGCATGACAGACCTATGGTTCGATGAGACCATGCACTGGCACATGCTGGGGGCAGACAGGCTGGGCAGCAGCTCTGCAGAAAAGGACCTGGGGGTTACAGTGAACAATAAGCTGAATATGAGCCAGCAGTGTGCCCTTGTTGCCAAGAAGGCTAAGGGCATACCAGGTGGCATTGGTAGGAGCGTTGCCAGCAGATCGAAGGAAGTAATTATTCCTCTCTGTTCAGCACTGGTGAGGCCGCATCTGGAGTACTGTGTCTAGTCTTGGGGCCCCTGTTACAGAAAGGATGTGGACAAGTTGGAGAGAGTCCAGCAGAGGGCAACAATGGTGAGTTGGCTGGGGGACATGACTTGTGAGAAGCTAAGGAAACTGGGTTTATTGAGTCCGGAGAAGAGATGACGATATAGATGGGGGTAGTCCTGCTTTGAGCTGGGCTGTTCTCAGTGGTGACAGATGACAGAACAAGGAGCAATGGGCTCCAGTTGCAGCAAGGGGAATTTAGATTGGATATTAGGAAAATCTCTCTCACTAGGAGGGTAGTATAACACTGGAGGTGCAGACAGAAGTGACAATTTTCGCTTGGGCTAGTCACAGAAAGCTATAGCTCTGACCAAACAGTGCACGGCTTCAAGCAGCTTCCAAAACGGACTATTGGGTGAAAATCTGATCTCTCATCACTTGACATCTCATGCAAAGATGTTATAAAATGTAGTATCTTTTGTAAGTTGTGTCTGGGAGGCCCCAGCCTGCTGCCTTTTCAGCCTGGGAGGGGGGAAAGGAAGCAGAGGGAGTTAAGTCTGGGAGCTTTTCAGCCCCACTGAGGGTGGGGTAGGTGTATTTCAGCCTCCCCTCCCCAATGTGAGGGGGCTCCAATTAACCCACCCTACCCTTCAACAACAAAGCGCCCCAAGAATGAGCTCCCTCCACTGCTTTTCCCCCCTCCCCGTCTGAAAACAGCAGCACTGGCAGACAGCCTTGCCAGTGCTGTGGGAAACTGGTTGCAGGCTCCCAGCCTGCAGCTAGATTCCCCTCTCCCCTGGAACCAGCAGTGAACTTCTGTTTGCTCCGGGGAAAGGTTGCAACTCAGACTACTGTGCAAAAATCCTTCTGAGTTACAGCTGGGAGCTGCACTTCTGTCCACACATCCTGGAAGAGGTTAGCCAGAGAGGTGGTGGACTCTCCATCCTTGATGGTCTTTAAGACCCGGGTAGACACAGCCTTGGATGGGATGATAAAGTTCAAGTTACTCTTTACCTGAAGAAAGATGTTTTGTCATATGTGACACTGGGCTTCACCATCTGTTCCCCTCCCCGACACGTCCCCATTCTCCGATCTGCCCATGTACATGCTTAGCCATAGCCCATCCCCATGTCACACACACAGCTACCTCTGTATCATCAGAAGCCGTGCTGTCACTGAGCCACCTTTAGGCCCTATGAGAAGGAAGGGGGAAGAGCCTTTGAAGAGGGATCACCACAGATATGGAGGCCCAACCCTGACAGAGATACAAGGGAAAGGCCCCACAGCAAAGACGAACCCAGAAAGACAGGAATCGTCAGCTTGGGGACTGGCCAGGATGAAGACACCTGAGTAGGCCAGGAGGGCTGGGATTAATCAGGTTTTAGGAAAAGGGCCCAGAGACTAAAGGGTTATAACTGATTGGAACAAATCCTGTGAGGATGGAAGCAAAGCCTGAAGGATCCTTCTGAGCTTTGCTGGTTATCCCATGGGACCAGGAAGCAATTTTCTCTCTGCTCTTGCTGCTATGGATGTCAGGAGGTATTTTTCTGGCTTCCTTAGAGCCGTTGGGTGTTGACTGCAACCACGGCTGGGGATCCTGACTAGGCTGTGCCAATGCTCCTACTAGGACTTATAGCTGGAGGGTCGTGGCCCTCTACTCAGGGTCAGACTGACACTGCACTGGGGGTCAGGAAGGAGTTTTATCCCACAGTCAGATTGGTAGACAAGGCAGAAGGGGCTGCCTTCCTCCACAGCTAGCAGGGAGCATGGCCTCTACCTGGGAATCTCTCAAGAGTTTTGAATCCTAGAGAAGTGAGGCTAAGGGACCTTCAGAAGTCACCTCTAGTCCAACCCCAGCCTGCGGCAGGATCAGCCTGGTCCCAACCATCCCAGGCAAAGTCTCATCTATTATCCTTTTATAGAAGCAAGACATTGGTCACCGCAGTCCCCCTACTTCCCCTGTTGCAGGTTTGGGTGTAATGTCTTGTGTTGTGTCAGGGTTGACAGTCATACAATGAAGACGTTAGATAATAGATTTGTCTGGGCTGGTTTGGACAGCGCTGACCCTGCCTCAGGCAGGGGGTTGGACTAGATGTGACCTTGGAAGGTCCCTTCCAGCCCCATTTTTTTTACGATTTTTGAGATTTTTAAGAGCCGAGAATTCAATTGAACAGAAATGCCATTGCTTCTCCCAGCCAATGGGTTATAAACTTTGGGTAGAGCAGGAAACAAAGGAGGGTGGGGGGCAGTTGCACCAGTGCATACCCCTTAGATCCACCCCTGGCTATAGGCAAACAGAGCCAAGCTCTGGGCAGATAGGAGAGTCATGACTGCCTCTCAGAGACATACCACACATTCAAATTAAATTAAAGCTTGTTAAAAAGCAGCTACAAAAATGGGCTGTGTTTTTCAAGCAACAGTCACGTGCTAGGTTAGTCAATTGTGTGGCTGATGGCCATTTTTGTGGCAGAACCATTACTTTGCCTGTGTAGCCTGTCTAAATTTATCATGCAGTTAACCAATTAAAAGTAACATGTCCTACTCCCTTCCTGGGGCTGGGAAAGAATCCAGGATTCCGGACTCCCAGTCATCCTTGCTCAAAAACTCCCAACAAGTCTCCACTCCCTCCCCATCCCTTCGAGAGAACAAAGGCACCCCACGCTCCAAGAGCCCAGCAGTGACTCTTTTGCATCAGTTAAACTGATTTTATTTTTAAAAAGGGGGAGGGGAAAAAAATTCACCAAACCTCAAATCCACAACCCGCCAACGTCACAGAGTGAGATTTAATTTTTCTTTTCTGCACATGTGAGTTAATTTAACTGACAAACTAATAAAAGGAGTCAGGCTCTCAGGGAAGGGAAAAGGAAGGCAGGTGGCCAGGCTCCAGGGGTGGGGGTGACCCCAGGAAAGAGAAACAAAATCAAACCGGTGACCCTGATCCAAGATGAAATACTGGGGAGGGGAGGAAGTAAGGGACCCAGGCGTCCAGGCGGAGACTCAGCGAATGGTCTTGACAGGGCTCTTGAAGTTGCTAGCAGCCTGCAGCTGCAGCTGGTAAGCCATGGGGTGGATCTTGAAGCCATACAGCCTAGGAGAGAAAAAATAGTTAGTCAGATGGGGAAAGGCCTGGTCAAGCTCCCCACCCCTTCCAGCAGCTCCCCCACAAGCCAGATCTGGGCTCCCTGGGAGGCTGTAATGGGCCCTTGGTGGAAGAGAAAGGGAGAGAAAACAGGGAGGCAGATTGGCCAGTGCACCCAAGAATGGAGTCTGGTGACAGCTCCAGCTGGAGGCAGAAAGGAAAGCCTGGAGCCGGATCCCCCCCAGGCAGGGGAGAAAGCCCAGAGCCAGATTCCCAGTGGAACAGGACTTGCCCTATGGCTAAAACTGCCCCAGGGTTAGACCTGCCCTATGGCCAGGAGCCAAATCCACTTGCAAGAGACTCTGTCAATCCCAGAACACCCGGACCAGGATTGGCAGGGCCTAGGCCCCGAGGGGGTGTGGCTCCAGCCAGAGCAGCCAACGGGAGTGGGCAGGAGCGGCTCACCTAGGCACGAACTGATTAGCCGGCCGCTTGGGCCGGTACTCGGGGTGCACCATGAAGAGCATGTGGGGGAAGCCAGTGCCGAAGTAGGCGCCATCCGTGTGATGGTGGCGTGAGGACTTGGGTGTGTAGACATCCATGCACTTGGGGCAGTAGAGCTTCACCATGGCCTCGCCAGGGATGTCTGACAGCCCTGGAAGGGGGCAGGGAGAAGAATGGGAGTCAGAGAGAAACCAGATGTCCAGGTTCCTAGCCCCTACCCCACTCCAACACCTGGAGAACCCAGGCTCCCAGTCCCCCAGCTCTAACCTCCCAATCCTGACTCCTCAACCACAGAACCCACCCCCCACCAAAAGCTCTCAGCCCTGACTTTCCCCTCCTGTCCCACAGAACCCAGGCATCCAGGCTCCCAACCCAGTTTGTAGCCCACCAGCCACGCTCCCTTTCTACAGAACTCAGGCGTCCGGGCTCCCATTCCCATCTGCTCCAACACCCAAAACCTCTCTCCTCCTCCAACACCCAAAGCCTCTCTCCTCCCCCCCTTCCAGAGAACCCAGGACTTTCCCCTCCTGTCCCACAGAACCCAGGCATCCAGGCTCCCAACCCAGTTTGTAGCCCACCAGCCACACTCCCTATCTACAGAACTCAGGCGGTCCGGGCTCCCATTCCCATTTGCTCCAACACCCAAAGCCTCTCTCCTCCCCCACTTCCACAGAACCCAGGCTTCCAGGTTCCCAGCTCCCCCTACCCCCTGCACCTACCAATGGGCAGCATGGGCTGGTTCTCACAGTAGACACGGGGGCAGTAGCCAAAGTCACCCTGCTGGTACTTCTCAAGCTGGGGGAGAATAGAAAAGCTGAGAGATGTGAAGCAGGGAGAGGAGGTAGCTGATACCCTCCAGGGGGTGCCAGCAGGCTGAGGGGTGGGGGCAGAGCCAGCTCACCATCTGGGCGATGCCACGGTTGGTGAGGATGTAGCGGGCATGGATCAGGCCGTAGAGCATCTCAGCCGCCTGCTCAATGAGGTCACTCTGGTTGGGGTTGTCCTCCAGCTCTTCATCTGGGTGTGGCGGGGAGGAAAAAAGGGCCACGAGGGTTGCCAACAGGGTTGCCCCCAAGCAGGTGAGACTAACAGGGCAACCCAGGGTAACAGATCCCAGGCTAACAGGGCTGCCCGTGGTTGGGCCTAATGCGGCAGGTGCCAGGTGAGGCCTGTGCCCCTCAGACCCTTGTGCGAGGACACATACACGCGCACGCACAGCTTCTCAGCCCCCACCCCCGGTGAAAAACCCCTAAGTCTCCCCACGGTGTTTCCTTCACTAATGTATCCCGTGACTCCCTTGTGCGAGGCCCGAGCATCGTACCCCAGGCCCAGAACTCCCCACCACCTTGTGCAAGGCAGTGTGGGAGGACCATGTCCTTCTGGCACCAAAGCACACACAGCAGCTCCCCGGGCTCCAGGCTACTGGTGTTCATGAGAGCATGGCACATGCTTGCGCAAGGAGAGGAAGAAGCAAGCTACACGTAGGGCAAGGGGCAGAGGCTCAGTGCAGGGAAGCCTGCGTCATGAAACACGGCAGCACGAGAGCTCTGCCACTGGCCCTCGCACCACCGTGAGGCAGAGGCCAGCCTGGCTCCTGCCCTTGTGCAATATGCGCCCCCACTCCATGCCCTGCCCCACGTGAGACACACAGACTTGAAGCCCCATGGAGAGCCTAGCTAGGCTACATTTCACGCCAAAAGGCACCTCTACATGTGTGAAGGGGGAGGGCACAAGTGTGCAACCTGACACCGGGCCAAGTTGGAGGGGCACAGGAGGGCTGAAGGAGGCCTGGGGACCCCCAGAAGCACCCCGCCTCCCAGAGGCCCCTGCTCCATGTCATCACCTGGCTCCAAATCCAGGATCATGTCCAGAGCCTGGCGGTAGTGGGGGACCTGTTCATTCAGCCCCGTCAGGTTGAACTTGTCCTGGATGTAGTCCTCATCCACCTGAGGGAGAGAGGAAAGCAAGGCTGGGACCCAGGCTTCTGGACTTCCAGCTCTCCCCAACTTGTACCCTTCCAGCCCTCCATCCCCTCCCGGAGAACCCAGGCGCAGGGGCTCCCAGCCCCCCTGCTCTCACCTCCCACTTCCCCTTCGCTTCCCAGAGAACCCGGACGTCCTGCTCCAACTTCCCAACCTCTGCAACCTTCCAAGAACTGGGAGAGAACGCAGGTGTCTCGATTCCCAGCCCCGCCTGCTCCAACTCTACCAGGCCCCACATCCCATCCAAAGGACCCAGGCACCCGCGCCCCACTCACCTCGCAGAAGAACTCATTGCCCCGCAGGCCACAGAACCAGGAGATCCAGGAGACCTCTTCTGAGCTACTCATCTTCCCTTCCTCTGCCGGGGGAAGAAACTGTCACAACCCCACCAGCCCCTTCCCAGCCGTGTAACAAGCACAGCAGGTCTCAACCCGGAGTCTCCCAAGCCCTAGCCCAGGCAGCTCCCAGCACAGCCCCTCCCCCTCCCCACCCAGCAGTGGAGGTAAACTCCCAAGATGCAGCTGGCTCTGGGGTGGGGGCCAGGAATTCAGGCTGAGTGTAACAGGGACAGAAGCTGGGGCTGGCTAGGCGCAAAGAAGGGCAGTGCATGGAACTGACACCCCCACCCTCCACACACCAGTGCGGGAGAGCTGGGAATGACCACACGGGAGTTGGTAATGGGGACAGGAACTGTGGCTGGCTCTGGGGTGGAGCAGGGCTGGGTGTAACAGGGACAGAAGTTGTGGCTGGTGGTGGGGGGAAGCTGAGAGTCATTCCCAGCCCCTCCCATATCCCTGTACCCCACCCCATCCTCACATCTCCAAACTCAAACCCGCCTTGTGTGTACAGGAGAGGGGTAAAATTCCAGTGGGGGAGGGAGCACATACCCCTACCCCTCCCTGGCATGAAAAGAAACCCCCCGCATCAAGCCCCTCCCCCAACACCCACCTCCAGCCCCACCCCCACCTTACAGCGGGTCCCCTACACCGACAAGGGCTGCCCAGTGCCCAGCGCTCAGCTCCCAGGCCCTGTGGTCGGCCCAGCACTGCGCATGCGCCCCTGTGAACCCCCGCCCCGCGGCGCGCCTGGAGATGTAGTGCGGTAAGCGAGAGGCGCCGCGGCTCCGACTACACTTCCCAGCGGCCCCCGCGCGGCGGTTTAAAGGCCAGGAGGGGAGGACAACTTCCGTGAAGATCCCCGTCACGTGGGCGGCTGGAGGCGCTCCGCGGCCCGGGAAAGCGGCGCCCGTGGTGCATTGTGGGAAAGAGCGTGAAGGGGCGTGGAGCGGCCCCAGAGCATCATGGGAGTTGTAGTTTTCGTCTCGTCCAGGTGAGCCCGTAGAGGGGCGTGGCCTCAGCAAGGGGGCGTGGTTTTGTTTTAAAGGGCCGGGGCCGCCGAAGGCAGGCTAGCTCAAGGCGACGGAGGGGTGTGGCCACAAGGAAGGGGCGTGGCCTCCGGAGAGAGGCGTGGCTTGGATTTAAAGAGCCGGGAGCACATGGAGGCATACCAGGTTCAAAAAGAGCAGCCGAGGGGTGTGGCCTGCGGGGAAGAAGGCGTGGCTTAAAGGCCCGAGAGCAGGAGCATCCAGGCCAGAGGCGAGGCCCCTGGGGGCGTGGCTTATTTGGAAGGGGGCGTGGCGTTGCTCTAGGAGGGTGGCATTTTGAGGTTCGCCAGCGCTCCATGGCGAGGAGGAGCGTGGCCCCCCAAGGGGGCGTGGCTGCTGCGCCTCAAGTCCCACCGGGGGGGCTGTGGCATACCAGAAGGGGCGGGGCTTCACCCCCGACGCTCCGGGCAGGCCCTGTCAGGGAGCTGAGGACCAGGGACCCCAGGTCCGGGCCCCGCCCTTTACCTTCTCTCAGGCTGCTGCTGCTGCGCCGGATCAGGCCCCGGGCCACCTCCATGGCCGCCCTCTTGTCCATGGCCCCCCCCCTTATGTTAATGAGCCCCAGCCCCCGCTCATTAGCATGGTTCCTTAACTCCCTTTCTGTGTTCATATGTAAATTAAGCCAAGCTTTTAAATAGAGTTTCAACCTTCCTTCAGGCTAGGGTGATCTCAGATATTTCATGGTGTTCTTGTTCTGAATTTGAATCTGGCGTTCCTGCCCCATGGGTAGAAGTGGTCCTGCTTCCAACTGGCCCTTAGCGCCCCCCTGAAACGAGGACCTAGACGCCTGGCTTGGAGAGCAGACACCTGGCAGACCGCAGGGGGTTCTGGGCTTTATACAAATGAGCCGGGGGGTCGCCCGTCCGGATTGGCTAAGCAGCCCGGGGCAAGCGGCGGCCTCGCGCGGGAAGGGGCCGTTGCTGGGAGACAGGCGGGGAGGACTGCGCATGTGTACTAATTGCCATGGGGAACGGGGTGCTGCTGATCCGCATGCGCCGATTTCTCCTCGCTTGTCACGGGAGTGAGTGCGCCGCTGCTCTGCGTCTCCCACCCGGTTTCTGCACGCGCATGCGTAGATTCCAAATCCTTCGCCAACCACCGCGCGCATGAGCAGTCGCCTCCCCACCGTAGGTTTTTACGCATGCGCAGCAGCCCACCCGCCCTCACTTTCGCCGGGTGCTGCGCATGTGCGCGCGGCCCGGGGAAGCAGGAAGTGGGGTGGGCGGTTTGCGCAAGCTTCACGCGTCTCTATGGTGAGTGCTGCCGCGGGGGATTCTGGGGGGTGCCAGAGTCCGGCCAAGGCCTAGGGAGGGGCAGGCCCCGGGGGGGGCTTCTGATCCCCCCCAG